TAAGATGAGAAAGAGTCCTTAGTCATGATGAACTTTTCAGGTTTTTCATCGTTGAGCTTGCCTTTTTAGATTTGTTAAGCCAGGATACAAGGCTGTCAAAGGAGATGTGATGATAGCAGAGCTCAGAAGCATAGCACAAAACCGTGTTCCTGCCTGTCTGAGTTCGTCACAGTTAAAGAATCACTTCTTTCCTCCATTTAGGGGCACTTTCTAATAGTGTAATCTGTGGTTTAAGCAATCTTTCGGAACAATTTGACTTGCAGCTTGCATCCTAGTGTAATCTGTTGAATCAGCTGTTCATTTTGGTTAGAATCAAACCTTACTAATCCTGCATTTACGTCTGTACGAGGTGTCACATGACGCCCATTAAATGAAATAAAAATTTCATTATACTGCAGTCACCTGTGTAGCTGGAGAATCCTGTAAATATGCAATTGATTTACACATGTAACTGCTCTCGTTGGTTGTGTGGATTTTCACGCTTCTTTTGGGATGTGAAACTTGTGGAGAGCATGCATTTTTCGAGTTCTTCTATCGTATGTCCGAACATTGTTACAGGCAGATCCACAACATGTAGACTAGACACCTTACTTTCGTGCTTCTATATGCATGTAAATGGCAAATATATGATGTCGTCCATGCGGAGTGGTCTGACCATCCCATAATCAGAGCCTCCTGGTACTTGATATCTTTCTTGAAGGATCTCATTTTATGCATTGTTTCTTGCTATGAATTACCTTCCCGCCGCTCGGAGGGGTGGTCTTCTGCCTCTGGTTCGTTTCCTAGCATGGTTACAGTAGCAATCCATTAGTTAATTGCTGCTTGTTAAAAATAGTAGCTCATTACTTCCTGTTGATTACATTGCAATCCTGCCTTTTGTAGCTTCTCTCTCAACTTACCCTAGAACTCTAGATCTGGGGGTTCAGGAGAGAGACCTCAAAGCCAAAAGGTCTGAAGGAAAGTCGCTGATCATATTGTGCCTTTTTGTAGCTATGAGTTTGTCAGTGTGAAGTTTTGACAACCCCGTCAGTTTTCTTGCCGTGTCCGAGATCATCTATGTTTGATCCACCAACAGGCGCCGTCTTCAGGAGTTGATGTGTGAGTGTATACTCTTGCTGTTGCTGTTCATTTCGATTTCTTATTTGAATTAGCCAAAAGATGGGGGAGAGGAAACGGGTTGGCTCGTATCCATGCCCTCCAAACCTAATTTGGTTGCCGACGGGTGTGACTGAGGACAGAAACGAGAGTGAAAAAGGACAGGGGAAGACGAGAATAGATGAAACAAGAAGGATTTTCCTAAAGGACACTTGACTCCCCTTGTTAATAAAATCAAAATGCTAGATGTAGCAAGTAATCTTTACTGAAACTCGCTAAAATTCTCACTCCTTCGTACGAGCCCCTATCTTGTTTTAGTCAGAAGTTGGTCCACCTGAAGAGAAGTGAAAAGAGTAGGCCCAGCTGGGCAATCCTTACCCTCAAATGTCACAGAATAGGCTGGTCGCTCCAGGTTCAGCCGCTGACACACAAAGCCCAAGCATCTCTCAAGAAGAAGAGACAGCTGGCCGTGCATACCATACCACTACGCTCATACATAAGCACCATCGTCCCTTTTCCAATCATCCATAGTCTGTGACGTTTACGAGGGTCGTATTAAGACTCGCCGTATCGTTTCCTGAACCTGCATGTAAATTCCATTATTCTCTTTCCCAGATCTGCTCAAAATCAGAAAGAAATGCGAACAGCGTGTTAAGCAATACGCAAAAACTTACAAGAGATGCATGATTACTTGTTTAGCATTTAGGATGTCGCATGATGGCGTTGCCGTCTCGGCTCAATAATGTCCTGTTTTTGCAGTGGACCAGTTGCATCAGAGAGCACTAGGTTTCTGGTATGTTCAAATTTATGGAGTCTCTTTCCATCAATACGTCAGTACGTTTCTTGCTTAATGGTTTCCAACTCAACCAGTCGAATGAGCTGCAATTTCTCCTAGCATCCTTTCATCTCTCTCGTTTTCGGCCCCGAAAAAAATAAAATTCGTCTATCTCGTCCTAAATAATTCTCATTGTTAAGCATCAAAGATCAGAGAACTCTGCTTATAAATTCATTGAGCCATATCTGTGTGTATAAATAGCATGTTGGTTCTTAGACATTATAGTTACATGTTTGTGCAATGGGAGGAAAATCATCTAGTTTTTTATCGCAATACCGAAAAGTGTGTATAGAGTACATTTGCTAATCGCTCACCTGCGGAAGTGTCGACTTCTTCGAAATGTTATTACGTGAAGAAACCAAACGTGCAGCTTTAGGGTCCCTAGCTTCTTTCGCTCAACTTTACGAAGGCGACCATTCGTACCAAGCATGACCAACTGGATGTGTAGTCCAGTTGTTTGTTTTGCAATTACACAAACTTTATAGAAGTTTAAAGATCATAGATCTTACAAGCGGCAAAGAAGAAGTCCAGGGACTAAACAAGAACGCTGTCAAAATTAGTTCAGGGGCTATGAATGTATTTATCTCTAAAATCTCTCATTAAAATCTTGGCAAGTTCATGATGTTTCCCTAAGGGCATTATGATTTACGGTTTTTTTACTGTCGAACAGACCATCGAGAGCCGAGGCTACAAACTCTTTTGCAACTTATGATGACACGATAATGAAAGTACGTAGAATAGCTTATTCTCCTGATACAAAGTCGAATATAATAAGCACAAATACTAAATAATTCACATAAAATTTATTAGCTCCGAGTCCAAGGGAATTGTAGAGACAAACCCCGTAAATTTCTTCCTCGATTGGGTCGTCTTACACGGTATAATCGACTACAAGAAGTCGAATAGATCAGAAGCGTTTGTAAATCAGGTATATGCAAGCGAAGTATAATCATAAAATTTTCCCATAAATTTATCGAGATAGGTAGCATTAGGGACCGGTTATTACACGAATGCCATCGACCTAGCTAATTTATTATCAAGATTTCTATGTGACTAAACTAAGCATTTCTACGAAATCGTTAACGAGCGTGAAGAAGCTAACGCGACTATGTTCTCCGTATCTCGTGCACGGGAAATACACAGGATCATAAGAGAATCAAACGCACCGAAGGGGTTGTCCAGGCAACATGCGAGGCTCTGGACAAGAGATTGCAAGATCGAACTCAAACCGTTGGCGTGTTCCTTCTATTTCCAACCCATCATTCCTCATCCCTCTTGTCCCCATCAACACAGTCAAAATTGAAATTTGTAATCCATCTTATCTTATGGTAAAGATCAAAATTCGTCCGGGCAACCGCCGAATGAAAGTGTGGAGATCCCCCCTTAAGCATGTGGTCTCCGATAATGGCAACAAAAAAGACTATAAAAGAAAGAATTTTTAAGTTAAATGAATTGATCAATCTTAAAGCACAACAAGACTTGGCACAGCTACCTGCCAAGCTCCAATATATTCAGGAGCTCGTACAATACGTGTTACGATGCCATAGACTCAATGACGTCTCCGATCCCAAGAAGGGTTTGTTTAATTGGGAGGGTGCAATGCAATCTCGAAGAGCTAAGGTGGAACATCTCCCCTTTTGCTTTCACTACCATTGCACATTCTCGCCCCTTAAAAAAGTTAAAACCCCCTTCTGTTTTTTAGTGCTAAACAAGGGGCTGAGTCAATTATTGGTGAGAAGCACTTGACTATGAAAAGGGTTATTATAATGGTGGCATGAAAGTGAGTAAAAATGCATATTATAGCTGGTCCATTCAGCGAGAGCATAGGATTCTAATCTCTCAAAAAGGGCACAAAAAAAACCAAAGGAGCCTCTTTCCACATGGGTGCCGTACTTTTGTGTTTAAATCAAACCCATCACACAAACTTTCCCCCACTACCCAGCCAATAGAGCACAAGAGCCCTCGGTGGGTTAGGCAAGTATGTGTACATGCATGCATGCATGTGGGGCATGACTCATATGAGAGAGAGAGAGAGAGGGGCCAAAGAAGTCTTATAAAGAAAAGGGGTCGATGATTATGATGGTTAAGACAGAATAAAAGGTGTGGTGGGGTTACATGGGTGTGACCGAGGGGGAGGGTCATGTGGGGCTTTGTCCCAATCAACATCAGTGAAGAACCACAGCATCGATCTCTCATTATCCAATCCGAGATAGGTGACCCCTTGAAAAGGATTTGCCTTTACCTCTTCTCCTTTCGAAATGGCTTTTGGGCCGCATTCACATTCACTGTCCTCTCTATATGAAGCTCAAAATTGACTTGTGACTTGAATGGAAGGGAAAGACAACTCTCTCACGCATCATCACCAGAGAGAGAGAGAGAGAGAGAGAGAGCATCTACTGCACACAAATACTTCAGGGGAAAAGAAAGAAGAAGCCCTATGGCTATGAGTTGAAAATATGGGATTTGACCCAACATATGTTTTGAGCTCTCTAGGAGTTGAAAGCTTTGCCTTTTGACTGTTAAGGGCATCAAAAGCTAAAAAGTTCTATCTGTTTTCCCCTCTCTTTTGAAGCCATTAACAAAAGCTTTGGTTCTTCTTTTTCCCCAATTTTTTTTTTTTTTGTTCCTTCTTTGATGAATAAAGATTTGCTTCTAGAAATCCTACTTGTTGTCAGAGTGGGTGTCTCATGTCGACTTGAACAAAGATAAAGATGATAGGTTACAGTCGTGCATAATGTAATAAAGCGATGGTTTACGTCATTCTTCCGCTCGGAGCGGCAAATATGGAACCAGTTCGAGTACTCTGAGAAGGTACAATGAACAGAAGACCCAGAATTTCTTGCCCGTCTCAGCTCACCAAACTTTAGAGAAGCCTGAAAGAGAGAGAGAGAGAGAGAGAGAGAAGCAAAGGCAAATTTCGCTTTGGAAACACGATGCCTCCTGCTTCACCAAGTAAAGCCATAACTGCTACTTCCCGGGTGGAGACAAGATTATGTGATTCTGTTTGAATTTATCAAGCCAAAGATTCAGACACCCAGTGGGTTTTTCTTAAAAAGAGAAAGAAGGAAACTTGCCTAATCGCGAATCTTTATTGAATGAAAAATGTTCTGTACACATCACTAGCCTCCACTACCTACTAAACAGATAAGAGCATACAAGAGGACAAGAGAAAAAAGAGAAATAATAGTTAGAGGAGAAGGGAAAGAAAATAAGCAAGAAACTGGAGTCCATAATACAACCTTTTTAACAACTACACAAATCTCCCACGAATCATCAGTTAGCCCTCTCGGCTTTGCGCATGAACACGCTCTCCAAATCCGGAGGATTAAAGAACTCCCTAACCCCGTTGTAGCGGTACTTCAACGCCGGCTTCCGCTTCCTCGGGGCCGGCGGGCACGTGAACTTAGCCGGGATCCTCGCCTCCTCGCCCGTCGGGGTCGTGGACAGCTCCTCCTCCTCCTCCCCGCCGCCGCCGCCGTCGTCCCACTTGGTGTAGATGGGCTTCAACGGGGACCGCAGCGAGATTCCGGCGATGACCCACGTCGCCTTGCCCTCCATCTCGAGCCCTCTATCCACCTGGTGGCGCTTCTCTTGGAACCCCATGATCATAAATACGCGCCCCCTCCCCCCCTGCCGCCTCCGCGCGGTGGCCCAAGAACAAAAACGGTGTGGTGCAGCGCAAAGGAGGAAGGCTTTGAGGGAGAGAATATAAAACGGGAGGAAGAGAATAAAGGCTGGTTTGATCTTTTCTTGTGGGGGATTGGGAAAGGGTGTTGGGCTGTTCGGGTGAAAGGGCGCTTATAAAAGATGGAAGAGAGAGAGAGAGAGATGTGGAGAGAGGGAGGGGAGCTGGCTTTAAATGAGGAAGAGCATATGGTTCAATGTGGCTCTGTATATACCAGTGAGATCAGAGAGAGGAGGAGAGGGGAGGAGGAAGAGAACCCGAGGAAACTCGTGACATAAGCAGAGAAGAATAAAGAAGACTTTTATGTTAATGTTGTGTAATGTAGTGTGGTGTGTGTGAAAGGAGAAAGGAAAGGAGGGAGGGGAGGAGAGGAAGGTGCCCGTGAAAGTAGCTGACCGGGGCGGGCAGCGGCAAGAGATTGACTCGGATTTTGGCGCCAAAATCTTTTGGAGGTGTGGTGATGTGGTGGTGGTGGGAATATTGGGGGGAGATCATCAACAAGTTCCCCAATTAATATTCCTTTGCTTTTTTTTTTTGTACCATCATTATCTCCTTAATTTAATCTTTCCCGTCGTAATTCTGTCCCCGCCCAAAAATAAGTTAATTGTCGTCTTTGGTTCCGCTGCACATTTGAAAGAGTGGCCGGGCCGTTCTTTGATGAACCGGGCAAATCACGGATAATGGGGCCAGACCATTTGAGGCATCGATGTCGATTTCTAAAACGGCATATGTACATCGGAGTAAATTCAAATGCGATAGATCGGCCCATTTAGGGGAAAAGTGCTGAATAAGTCCTAAACCTTTTGGGGTGGTGCCAATTTAGTCACAAACTTATTTTTAGTGCCAATTGAGTCCTATACCTTTTGATATAGTGTCAATTCAGTCCTTTTGGGCGGATTTTGATGATATGGACATCGGCCAGCCGGCGACCGGTCACCGGCGCTGACATGGACAAAATTTAATAATATTTTAATATTTTTTTGAATTTTTTTTTCTTCTCCCTCTTCCTTCAGCCACTCGCCGGAGCGGCGACCGGCCGGAGGCCAGAGGCCGGCGAGGTTGACCTCGCCGGCCTAGGGCGAGCCACGCTTGCCACTAGCGAGGCTCACCCTCGCCGGCGACGGCGAAGGCGAGCCTCACCATGACTAGGCGAGCCTCACCGGCGGCTGGGCGAGGCCCGACCTCGCCGGATCTGGCGAGATCGACCCTCGCCCGACCATGGCGAAGGCCGAGCGAGCCTCGCCAGTGGCCGGCGAGGCTCACCCGAGGCCGGTGAGGTCGACCTCGCTGGCCTCCGGCCAGTCGCCGCTCCGGCAAGCAGCTGAAGGAAGAGGGAGAAGAAAAAAATTCAAAAAAATATTAAAATATTATTAAATTTTATCCACGTCAGCGCCGGTGACCGGTCGCCGGCTGGCCGATGTCCACGTCAGCAAAATCCGGCCAAAAGGACTGAATTGGCACTATATCAAAAGGTTTGGGACTCAATTGGCACCGAAAATAGGTTTATAACTAAATTGGCACTACCCCAAAAAGGTTTAGGACTTGTTCAGCACTTTTCCCGCCCGTTTAGGAATGGGGCTGAATAGCTGGTAGCGGCAATGGCGACTGCTAAAAACATGTGCTCGATACTAAAACATTAGCAAGGTGGAGTTGTGGGCACCTCGTATATCAAAAGAACAATGCTAGCATCTGTATCAAGACACAATGGATCTCAACATTCCTTTATCTTTTGATAGATTGGAAACATCTTGTATCAAACGGTTTTTCTTAAACTCGTCAAGCGACGAAATCATATATTGCCCAACCATTTTCCTTTTCACTCAGTGTAGGCATGAATTACTGTCATTTTCTTTCAATTGAGAAATATGACAACCTCACCAACCCGACATGATGTTTTCAATTTTTGGAGGGTCAAGTAACTCAACAGCGCCGATATAGGACGTGTCAGCTAATCTTTTGTCCGGACATTATTTCGCCTTTTTCTATAGGGAATTATCTACTCTTTAATTTCACTCATTCCTCACCTAAGTGAAACCCGTAATCACAAATCACTCCTGAACATGGCGGATCAAACCTCATCATATGTGCTGGACCCAAACAACATTAACATCCTAGTTGCAAGTCCACTTGATTACGTCCTTATGAGTCGTGATGCTTCTGATAAACGTGCTAAGTTAAAAATGGGTAAAAATGTCTAGTTGTACTGGCCATAGTTCAATGCCCCCTTTGCTGCTGGCCACCGGACTATGACCTAATCATTATTACTACTGTGTCTAGCAGCACCGACCAATTGTATGCTACTAATGTGGGAGGCATTTTGACAAAAAACAATCCTTTGTTCTGACACTAATCTACTTACGGCAACTGGCTGCGTTCCATCTTACCGAGCTTAGCTGGTGCTCACGATCGAACCCTTTTCGTTGTCCCTGTGTCTGTCTCAGATCTCCTCCATCCTTCACTTCAAACCTTGTTATCAAAAAACCCTTTATTGCTCTGTGAGGGGTACTTTTGTTTTTCAAGGAAAGCGCTTTCTCCACGTGAAAGAAAGCCAATGGCAAAGAGAGACGTGAAAGGGAAGGCAAGAAAGGCAAAAATAACGCCACATTCGATGCCACGAAAGAGATTAAAAAAAAGAAAGAAAGAAGGGTTTGATGAAGCTTTTGCTTTGAGTTTACGCTCGTTGAGCGTACGTGAAGGTCTCCTTTGGAACAGGGTAAAGTTCCTTGTCCCGTAAAAGTCAAAGCATCCAAATCCGCACGATCGATCTCATTGGCTAGAAAAGCCAGATTTTATTCGCGCTTTTAAATGCTAAGTTAAGTAGCCAGTTGACCCCGCTCCATTCTTTCTGATATCTTTTCCCAAGGTAACATTAACTTTACCCTTACTGTTGATAACCCTTCTTATTCGACTTGATTTAATGGTGGTCCTTTTCTTGTGTTAGGTGATGGAAACTTTACCTTTCATGCCCCTACTTTTTCGCCGGAAACTCTCGGAACAAACCCGGATATGTTTCATGCCGGATATCGACTGAAGTTCATTGTTTTGCATTATAAAAAGGAGTACTTGCTTGCCTTCATTTTGCTATACAGGAAAGTGAAGATCGTGAAGTGTTCATAGCATGTATTTAATCAGCCGGTGGTTGATTGTCTTGGGTCGTTTTTAAGGTCGAGTTATCAATTTCAGGGCTAGTCAGGAGTTAGTATGGTAAGCAAAGTCAAAAGCTGACATTTTGGGCATAAACATTCCTTCCGGATTGAAATAGGCCCACGCCAACATTCATTTTAGAGCTGTCTAAAGCCTCTTAAGTGACTACTACACCCACAATAATCAAGAAACTCATGATTGGGCATGAGTCAAGCAAAATGCAGGACAAAGCTTCAGCAACTCAGCACGTGAAAGCGATCTACATGGTATCACAGTAGGCCCGTGAAGGCCTGTCGTTCCCAGTCGTAGAAGTTGTGGGATGTATACAAAAAAGATAGCCGCAAAATACGCGGCCTACTTCACTCGATGGCCTTGGTGCAGACCTGGAGGATGCCTTTGAATCGACCCGACGGACAGTCAGGAGCCAATCTTTTGTATCACGTGGATTTTGTTTGTTTCTTCAATCACAAACCAGCGGTCGGCCGTTCAATGCTCTCGTCACCGTCATCATGTTTAAACTCTTCATTATGAGCATCTTTAATTTAGATCATCATGTCTCTTCTTACAATCGGAAGAAGCCATGATGGCTAAGACTGACTTTTGCACGAGCTAGAAATCAGACTTTGCCATCATCCCACAATTAAATTCTCACAGCGTGATGTGATGCTACGGAGCTTTTTCCCATACTGATATAGGTTATGTCCATCATCAAGCAAGTATGCACGTAATTGATACTAGGGGTGTGCATGATCCGGGTAGGCGATTCCCACCCCGGAACCGTGGACCGCCCGTTACAAGAACGGTTCCAAAAATTATAACCGAGAACCGCCCGTCAGTTCCATGGACCCGCCCGAGAACCGGACCGCCGGTCCGGTCCGGCTCTTGGGCGGGTCCATGAAACGGGTCTCAACAAGTTTTCCTAGACAAATAAAAAAAAAATTCTGTGGACCAACATCGGATCAACAGAACAAAAGGAAAAGAACATAACTTTTCATACAATTCCTACACTGTGATCGATTATATTAACCACATCATCCATAAATCAAGTGGGTACCCATTAATTATTGGGAAAAATGACCAAGGTATCCCAACTACACAAGAGCTTCAGACATGATAATAAATTTTCTTCTTTTTTTAAAATTTTTTTGGTCAGATTTTTTTAATTAAAAAATAAAAAATATATATATTATTATTATATTACCGGTCCGGTCCGGGTGGGCGGTTCCACACCTGGAACCGGGAACCGAACCGGTTCCCTTGGGAACCACCGGTTCCGGGCGGTCCGGGCGAGTTCCGGTTCTTTTGCACACCCCTAATTGATACATGTACGATGAGCAAATGCTGACTTAAAAGCCACAACCTAGCGAACAAAACTGAAAGAAGTAAAAGCTAAAAGGCTCGTTGGGCGAACCCAATAGAAACCCAAGCCTAAGCTCATCACCGCATTGGAAAATAATCAAAACCCGCAAGGCTTGTGCCTACAATGGACGGTGGGAAATAGGAATCCTTAGGCTCCGTTCGTTTGGCGGAAAATATTCTCATTTTGGAGAATATTTTCCCGGAAGTCATTTTTCTGGAAAATATTTTTCCGGAACATAATTTTTTGGTGTTCGGCGACCAATATGAAAAAGTTTCGGAAAATATTTTTCGCAGGCGGCGGCGGCGGCGTCCGGCGGCCGCGCGACCGGCGGCGGCGGCGGCGGCCCGGCGGCGGCGACTGCACAGGCGGCGGCCGGCGACCTTAGTGAAGAAGAAAAAGAAGCTCCGGAAAATGATTTCCGCTTTTGAAGAAGCGGAAGTTATTTTCCATAGACTTAGGCTAATTTGTGAGGGGGGGAAGGAAAATATTTTCCCACGAAAAACGTTTTCCGCCCCCCGAACACCGGAAAATCCGGAAAATATTTTCCGGGAGAATATTTTCCGCCAAACGAACGGAGCCTTAATACACGAATCGAATTTGCTTTCACAATTGCGTCACGGTGTGATTGCCAGTGGTTAAAGAGTTTCGCAACAAGGTCCATGAAGTGACAATGGTCGTGTAGCTGTTGGGGGCAAAGTAGCTGCAATGATTCATGGGGGTGAGGAAAACGAAGAGCTTAGATAAAAGAGGTAGCCAAGTGTAGCTGGCGGAGATGGTGCGGCACGGCGCGGCTTATATGGGTAGAGAAAAGGCAGCACAAGTTATTAA